ATCATTTTTCGCGAAAGCTTCAGAAAAGTGGATGGGGTCCAGATCCGGTTGTTTTGTTGTAATCCGTTTTCCCTTGCAAAAAACACTATAAAATGACATTTCTTGTTCTAATATAATCAAATTTCAAGAATCCCTTGCAAAAAATAAGGTAAAGTGGACATTCGCGCGCGCAAGACGAAATCCTTCCAAAAGCTTAGTGTTCGGAGCGATTTTAACATAAAAACATCAAAAAAACCAATGGTTTTTCAACAAAAAAATGTCAAAATCTCATCCCGCGCGCTCTTGCGGATTCGTAGGAAAACCAACACTTTTTAAACATTTCTGTCAAACGGGCTTTTGCGAGCAACTTTTTCGAACTTCTGCGACAACGGTTGCGCACCTGCCAGGGCCATCATCCCTGTCAAATAATACCATGCGGGACACATTCGTTTTTTCTTCGCGCGCGCACGCCGTCGTCGTCGGCCGCGGGGCCCTGAATAGTAGCCACGGTCGTCCGCATGCCACGAAGTGAAGTGTCCGAACGTCATAGGGCGGGAAGCTGGGTGTGGGTGGTGGCGAAGAGTCGTTTGGAAATTTGGTAGAGCTTGAACCGGCCCCCCCACAAAGTGGGGGTATTGCCCGCCTCCTATGAAAACCCTGGCACTGGTGAGAACGGAGTGTCCCCAGTCTTAAATGATTGTTGTTGTTGTTGTTGTTGTTGTTGTTATGGTTGTTGTTGTTATTGTTGTTGTTGTTGTTATTGTTGTTGCTTGTTGTTGTTTGTTGTTGTTGTTGCTGTTGCAGCTGTTGCTGTTGTTGTTGTCGGCGTTGTCGTGGTTGTCGTTGCCGTTGAGGTTGTTGTCGGTGATGTAGTTGCTTCATGGTTGTAGCTGTTGTTGTTATGGTAGTTGTAGTAGTTGCTTTTTTGTTGTTGCTGTTGCTGTTCCGGTTGCTGGTGATAATGGTGACGATGCTGCTGTTGATGCTGATGACGATGATGGTGCAGCTGATGCTGATGCTGCCGTTGATGATGCTTATGGTGATGATAATGATGCTGACGAGGATGATGATGATGATGATGATGATGATGATGATGATGATGATGATGATGATGATGATGATGATGATCATGATGCTGATGATGATGCTGATGATGATGATACTGCTGACGATGATGATGCTGCTGCTGAGGAGAAGGAGGAGGAGGGGAGGAGGTGGGGAAGCTGTTGATGTTGATGATGCTGATGATGCTGCTGATGTTAATGATGATGAGCACGAGGATGAGGATGATGATGACGATGATGATGATGCTGATGATGATGCTGCTGATGATGATGATGATGATCATGATGATGATGAGGATGAGGATGAGGATGAGGATGCTGATGCTGATGCTGATGATGATGATGCTGCTGATGATGCTGATGATGATGACGATGATGATGATGGTGATGATGATGATGATGCTGCTGATGATGATGATGATGATGATGATGATGATGATGATGATGATGATGATGATGCTGCTGCTGCTGCTGATGATGTGATGATGATGATGATGATGATGAGGAGGGGGAGGGAGGAGGAGGAAGGAGGAGGAGGAGGAAGAGAGGAGGAATACGAGGAGGGGGAGGAGGAGGGAGGCGGCGGGAGGCGGAGGAGGAGGAGGAGGAGGAGGAGAAGGAGGAGGCGGAGGAGGAGGAGGAAGAGGAGGAATACGAGGGAGGAGGAGGAGGAGGAGGAGGAGGAGGAGGAGAGGAGGAGGAGGAGGAGGAGGAGAGGAGAGAGGAGGAGGAGGAGGAGGAGGAGGAGGAGGAGGAGGAGGAGGAGGAGTAGGAGTCGGAGTAGGAGTAGGAGTAGGAGGAGGATGAGAAGGAGGAGGAGCATGAGGAGGAGGGGGAGAAGAAGGTGGCGGAGGAGGAGGAGGAGAAGGAGGAGGAGGAGAGGATGAGGAGGAGGAGGAGGAGGAGGAAGAGGAGGACGAGGAGGAGGAGGAGGAGGAAGAAGCAGAAGAAGAAGAAGAGAAGGAGGAGGAGGAGGAGGGAGGAGGTTGAGGAGGAGGAGGAAGAGGGCGAGGAGGAGGAGGAGGAGGAAGAAGAGGAGGATGGGGCGGATGAGGAGGAGGAGAAGGCGGAGGAGGGAGGATGATGATGAGGAGAAGGAGGAGGAGGAGGATGAGGAGGAGGAGGGGGGAGGAGGAGGAGGAGGAGCAGGAGGAGGAGGAGGAGGACAAGTGTAAACCCAAGAGTCACCAACGATGTTGGAATTAACCCTCCCACCAAACTCCCTCTTCAGATGCCCCTACAAGGGTCCATTTCCATTGAGGTAACTGACTCGTTGGAAGACAACCGTTTGAAGACCTCGAGGCATGCCAAAACATTGTTTTCGGAATTTCCACGCTACGGATCAACCTGACTGCTGCGTCCTGACGATCTGGAATCGTGCCAGAACGTCGTTTTTGGGATTTCAGCACCGCAGATCAACATAGCTGTTGCACCCGCGTAATCATGCATCGTTACACAGCATCATTTCTGGTACGTTGATCATGTGAACCCGTGAAACTTTTCCAAATGCTGAAAACGAGTGTGTGCGGCGCTGCGGCGGGAACCACATTTTGAGAACCAGCCGCTCTCAACCCGTGAAAAACGAACATGCGCGGCGCTTAGCGAGAGCAGCATTCGGAAAACGACCCGCCCTCAATCTCTGAAGCTCTTGCACATTTTTGAAACGAATGTGCGCGGCGCTAAGGCGCGAGCTGCATTTTGAAAACCACCCGCCCTCAATACGTGAAGCTCTTGCGAATTTTTAAAACGAATGTGCGCGGCGCGAAGGCGAGAACCACGTTTTGAAAACGACCCGTCCTCAATCCGCGAAGCTCTTGCAAATGTTGAAAACGAATGTGCGCAGCGCTAAGGCGAGAGCCACATTTTGAAAGCGACACGCCCCCAACCCGTGAAGCCCTTGCAAATTTGTGCAACGAATGTGCGCGTCGCTAAGGCGAGAGCCACATTTTGAAAACGACCCGCCTTCAATCCGTGAAGCCCTTGGGAACTTTTTAAAAGAATGTGCGCGGCGCTAATGCGCGAGCCACATTTTGGAAACGACCCGCCCTTCATGTGTGAAACTGTTGCCATTTCTTAAACTGCAGAGTCATAAATGGTGGGGAAGTCTCAGGCGAAACGCCCGGCCCGCCCTAAAAACTGGCCTTGGGGTGCGACAGGATAATTATCTATAAGGAAGAGAAATGGAGGGGGAGGAGAAGGAGGAGGAGGAGGGGGATGATGATGATGAAGATGATGATGATGATGATGATGATGATGATGATGATGATGATGATGATGATGATGATGATGATGATGATGATGATGATGATGATGATGATGATGATGATGATGATGATGATGGATGACGACGACGACGACGATGATGATGATGATGATGATGATGATGATGATGATGTGATGATGATGCTGCTGATGCTGAAGATGATGATGATGATGATGATGATGATGATGAGAGAGGAGGAGGAGGAGGGGGAGGGAGGAGAGGAGGAGGGGGAGGAAGAGGAGGAGGAGGGGGTGAGGAGGAGGAGGAGGAGGAGGAGGGGAGGAGTAGGAGGAGGATGAGGAGGAGGAAGGAGGAGGAGGAGGAGTAGGAGGAGGAGGAGGAGGAGGAGGAAGAGGAGAGGAGGAGGAGGCGGAGGAGGAGGAGGAGGAGGAGGAGGAGGAAGACCCCCAAGAGTCACCAACGATGTTGGAATTCACCCTCCCTCCTCTTCATAGGCCCCTACAACGGTTCATTTCCATTGAGGTAACTGCCTCGTTGGAAGAGAACCGTTTGAAGACCTTGAGGCATGCCAAAACATTGTTTTCGGAATTTCCACGCTACGGATCAACCTGACTGCTGCGTCCTGACGATCTGGCCCCTACAACGGTTCATTTCCATTGAGGTAACTGCCTCGTTGGAAGAGAACCGTTTGAAGACCTTGAGGCATGCCAAAACATTGTTTTCGGAATTTCCACGCTACGGATCAACCTGACTGCTGCGTCCTGACGATCTGGAATCGTGCCAGAACGCCGTTTTTGGGACTTCAACACCGCGAACCAACATAACTGTTGCACCTGCATAATTCTGTGTCTTTCCGAAACGCTATTTCTGGTACGTTGATCATGGGAACCCGTGAAATTCTTGCAAATGTTGAAAACGAATATGCGCGGCGCTGAGGCGAGAGCCACATTTTGAAAACCACCCGGAGGAGGAGGAGGAGGAGGAGGAGGAGGAGGAGGAGGAGGAGGAGGAGGAGGAGGAGGAGGAGGAGGGAGGAGGAGGAGGAGGAGGAGGGGGGGAGGAAGAGAGGAGGAGGAGGGGGTGTAGGAGGAGGAGGAGGAGGAGAGGAGGAGGAGGAGGAGGAGGAGAGGGGAGGAGGAGGGAGGAGGAGGAGGAGGAGGAGGAGGAGGAGGAGGAGGAGGAGGAGGAGGAGGAGGAGGAGGAGGAGGAGGAGGAGAAGGAGGAGGAGGAGGAGGAGGAGGAGGAGGAGGAGGAGGAGGAGGATGTGGAGGAGGAGGAGGAGGCAGGAGGAGGAGGAGGAGGAGGCGGAGGACCGGAGGAGATTACAGATACGGCTTTGCTCCACCGGGTCCTTCCATTGTCTGTGGCCGATGATTCTCGGTCGCGGTGCCTTTGCCTCTCGCTGCCCCCTCGTGCGCCCCGCGCCCGCGGAGGCACCCCAGGCGTGATGCTACGGCCAGGAGCTTTGGGACACCGTGTCGCGGCGCCGGTTCTGGCCCACAACGCTTCGGCGCGACACGCTGTCCACTTCTGGGTCCTCCAGCGTCCACGTTCCGAGCTTTCCGATCCTCCCGCCCCGCGGAGCGGAGCGGCACGCTGTCCGTCTGCAAGGCATGGCGTGTCTCCGGGGCCGCCGCGTCGACACGCCGAGCAACAGCTCCCTGGGGTCAGCTCCGAGAGTCCCGAGCGAGTCTGGGGTCAATCCCTCGAGGCCCCGCCCCTCCTGCGGTCTCTGGCTCAGGCAGCTGTCGGCGTGACGACCTCCGCACGGGTTGCCGACGGGAGCTGGAGGGCACCTTTCTGGATGGTTCCAGCATTGGGTCGGGGCTGATGGGGTGGGGCCGACTTTTGGCGAAGTCGGCCCTGATTGGTGGGTCGACCGTCCTGTGTTTCTCGACCCATGCCCTCTATATTCCTGTGGCAATGTGGCCCTCGGAAGGGTCTTGTGTCCTCTCGCGTGTCCTCTCCAATCAAGTCCGACTGAATGAGTTTTGCGCAGGGGGTCGGCCCAAAAAGCCCTCTCAGCCCCACGGCAGGTTCGCGTCGTTTCGGCTGGGCGGGGACCCCGCTGCGGTCTCAAGATGGGAGCGCTGCCAGTGGCGAAGAATCGGCCAACGTGGAACGATCTGGCGAGCGAACAGCCGCCGACCGCTCGGGGTCGAACGATCCACGCGGCGCCAGAGGCCAACGCCGAAGTCACCACGACGCATACCTGCCGTAGCCCCCGCTGGCACCCTCCGGCCTTTCGCCAGAGGTGCCCGACGGGGCCGAGCGGGTCCGGCGGCCGCGGCCTGCTCGCCGATGTGCCTCTGCGGCTGCCTGCAGGGGCTGTGGCCGGCCCGGCGGCCGGGCGCGCCGCAGTTCGCCAGGGGGAGCTCCGCCGAGTTCCTGGACGCGGAGGATCAAGCAGTGTCGAAGCGTCCGGGCGTGCCTATAGCCCTGCCAAACAATGTTCTAAGAACCTATTGTGGTTTCCACGAAATGTTCCTGGAACATTTCTGGTTGGTATTATCTTGTTTTGACACATCGGTTTCATGTTCTAAGAACATTGTTTTTGTTCTTAGAACATTTTGGGGTTCTAAGAGCATTTCGTGGTAGGACTATAGGAATGCTGGGACGGTCGGTCCCTGCTCGAGAGGAGGGGGACTCGGGCGACGATCACAGGTTCGAGGAGATGGCGGAGCGCGCCAGGGTGGGCCTGAGCTCCGTGACGACCCGGCTGGGGAGGAGGCTCAGCGGGCTGCAGGCGGGCTTCAGCTCGCGGTCCGCCGACGGGCTCCGGGCGTCCTCCCCTGCGATCTTCAGCGAGCACGAGTGGTTTAGAAATACTCTCGCTCGCTTCGAGCTCCTCAACGACGAGCTCCCCGCCGGCCCTGACAGGCCGCAGGTCCCATGCTGGAGTGAGGGCTCGGGCCGCGGCTTCGAGCTGCGTTCCAGGCACTGGCCACAGGCTCCACCCAAGGCGTGGACGCAGGGTGCAATGTACAGGACCATATCTGCAGACGTCGTGAAGTCCCAGAGTAGCACCATCTCCCAAGTTATGGGCAGACTGATTCAATCTTCCGACATCGCTGGTAGCTCCTGGGAGGCTGGCTGCCTGCTGCCCAGACTGCTCTGCTTCGTGGTTCAGCTGCCCTATGGAGTATCAGGCTCCAGCGAGGAGGATCCTGGGTGCAGCGTCGTGACTGTCCATCAGATCACGGAGGAGACGCTGGACGCGTTGAAGCAGGACCCTTTACCAAATCACGTCAAGTTGTTCGCGAACTTCGTCCGCGGGGGTGAGACAAACTTGCCGCAGCACAGCAGAGGTAAGTCGCACACCAGCGGAGTCTTCAAGGCCATCGCCAGGGTGGGCAACTTCGAGGACCTCCGTCTAAGTATGTTTATGCGGCCCGTGGCCAGTAAGTATAATGGGACGCCGTGCCTCATCACAAAGAGTGGCACAGTCTTCAAGGGGCCTTCGGACGAGTGGCTAGAGGTGGACGTTGACGTCCGCAAGTTCTCCGCGGTCGCGCGCCGCAGCCTCTACTCGCTCCAGGGCAGCCTCAAGCAGTGCTCGATACACTGCGGGTTTACCATCCAGGCCTGCACGCCTGAAGAGCTTCCAGAGTACATCGTTGCCGACAGCTGGCTCCACAACATCGACATCATCGAGGGCCCGAGAACCATCGACGACGAGCGGCCCGTGTTCTGAGCTACAGAAGGAGCAGCGGCGCTTCGAGAGATCCCACGCCGCCGTCGAGGTGCGGTGAGGGGCGGCGAGGTGTCCAGGTGTGCTGGCGCACACAGCCGCCACCACGCACTGTGGGGTGGGGTGGAGCTTTGGTGGGTGGTTGGGGTGGGGGGCGGGTCTGGGGTTGGGATGGGCTCGGGAGCGTGGCCAGGGAGGTCTGGTTCCTGGCATGTATTTCCTGCTGGGGTGTCAAGCAGACGTGGAATCTGAGGCACAAGCATACGCACGTCGGGGCCTCGATGGGTTTTTGGGGCAATCACACATGCTTCGCGATGAGCAACATCAACGAAACTCAAGGGACTCGACGTCAATCGACCGTGGCACAGTGCGGTGGCTGATCTGGAAAGCAGCGCAGCGTGGCCACGGCATGCTGCTTCTGGTGGACGAAATCTAGATCCGCGAGTCGAGCCCCCTCCGCTAAAAAGTCAAGTTCCCCTCGAAGAGGCGCAGGCCCGATCGCGCACTGCGAATCTGGAGGAAAGGCCTGCGTCGGCTTGAGGGAGTCACGCTTGCAAGGGAAGCTCGGCACAGGGTCTGTCGAGCGTGCGGCGAGGGTCGGCATCGCTTTGTCGGTTTACCTGGGGATTCATTCGTTGTCATACTACCACGTCGGATCGTCGATGCAAACGTGCTAGCAAGAATCGATGACGCCTGCGGCGAGTCACCGCCAGCCCCTGCCTTTTCAGGAAGCGCCGATGTGGCCAAAAGTTGGGCCAACACTTGGCCAAGCTATTGACCTCTGTGTTCCCCCAGCCGTTGTGGAAACCCTTGGGATCACTTGGGGAAGGAAGGGGGGACGGAGCAGGACATGGATGAGGAGGATGAGGCGCACGAGGAGGTGGCCTCCTCCGGGCATCTCGTGGCTCTCTTGGGACATCCTGGGTGCTTTGTGGGGGCCTCTTGGGGCCAGGTGGGGCCGCTTTGGAGCCACCTTAGGGCTGCCTCTGTCTTGAGGCCATCTTGGGCATGTTTGCTGCCGGGGGGGCCCTCTTGGCCGTCTCGGAGGCCGTCTTGTGCTGCCTCGGAGCGTTCGAGGCCGTCTTGGGGTCCGTCCGAGGCCGTCGGATGCCCTCGAGGGCGAGAACGCGTCGAAGTCATGGACACACCAGGAGGAACATCGGAGGTTAGGAGGAGGAGGAGGAGGAGGAGGAGGAGGAGGAGGAGGAGGAGGAAGAGGAATTGGAGGAGAAGGAGGAGGACGAGGAGGAGGAGGAGGACGAGGAGGAGGAGGAGGAGGAAGGAGGAGGAATTGGGGGGGGTGAGATGCGAAGGGGAACCGAGACCCCCCACCAGTGAACTCCGTTTCGGTTCGGTGATCGTGTCGTGAGCGTGCCGGGCGGGGCGAGGCTGCGTGCGCGGGCTCGGGAGGCGCGGTCCTCCGCCGCTGCTGGGACGACGTCGCAGCACACGGCTCTCCCCCCGTCCGGTTGACGAATTGGGCCCGCGGATGGGGCCGATGGCTGTCCCGATGGTTGCCCCGATGGTAAAGAACACACACACGTGTGTTTTAAACACACGTGTGTGTTTGTATGTTTTTTGCTCCGATGGTTGCCCCGATGGTTGTCCCGATGGTAGTCCCGATGGTAGTCCCGATGGTTGTCCCGATGGTTCCCCCGATGGTTGTCCCGATGGTGGTCCCGATGGTAGTCCCGGTGGTAGTCCCGATGGTTGCCCCGATGGTAGTCCCGCGGTGTTCCGGCCAGGTGAATGCACTCGGCGCTTTCGGCGCCTCGAGATGTGGGCCAACGTGCGAAATAGTGCGCAGGTTGTCCCGATGATTGTCCAGATGGACGGATGATGCGATGGGCAGATAGATCGTGAGATTGATCAGCAGATCGTGCGATTGATAGCGAGATCGATCGTGAGGGTGATCGTGAGATCGATGGGTATGGATATCGGGGCGTGTAGATGGGAATGCCGATCGATAGATAGTGTTATCGATATCGATATGTACACACATACATCTATACATCTAATTTTATGTATAGATATATGGAGTGACACTCATATACATACATCTTAAGACGATATTTGTACATTCATCTAGACATTCTGAGACCGATATTGAGATCGATAGATCGGTTGAGCGATGGATCGACACATCTATTGAGAGTGATATGGACAGACCGATCGTGAGGCGGACACATGCTGAGACCCACAGAGGTAGATCGATGGATGAAGACGGTTGTCCCGATGGTTGTGCCGTCGTTGGTTCCACCCTCGTAGTCTCATTGTCGGCATTTGCCAGGTCTGATAGGTACATGACCTTGGCGCCGGCCTTCAAGGGTGTCTTGTAGGCCTCTTGGGTCTTTTTGGGCCACTCGGCGAGGCCTTTTTGGTCCGTCTTGGAGGCCGTGTACTGTTAGGCCATCCTGGCCGTCTCGGAGCGCGTCTGGGGACCTCTTGGCCATGTTTCGGGCGGATTGTTTTAGGTTTTCGCGGTGGTTTCCGGATGGCCTGCGGTGTGGGCAGGACGCCGTAACATTCGGCGCGCCATGTCCCTCCGAAGGCCACGGTGTGCGGCCTACCGAAGTGGCCTTCGGCCCATCCCAACCACCGCGCCCGGGTGTTGGATAGGGGATCTCTTGGCTGCCTACTGGGGCTTCTCGGCGAGCCTCTCGTGAGCTTCATATATGTCGTCGCGCCGTTTGTTCCGACGCGCGGCCTTGCGTCTTGGGGAGGTCGCCGCGGCCACCAGGGCAAACGCCGCCTCGGACGCAGTTGGATCGCCGTGGGTTTGCGCGGTGCCGGCGTCGTCTACTTGGGCGCGGGGCGCAGGGTTTGCCGTGGGTTTGCCGTGGTGTCGGCGCCGTCCACTTGGGCGCGTCGAGAACCATCGGCGCGGCGACATATCCACCTCCCGGGCAGCCAATCTTCCTGGACCTCGGGCGGCGGTGGAGGTGGAGCGATTCGGGCCTTTCTGGGGGCCCAAGTGTAACCCGTGTCCACCGCCCCCTGGGGTCCTGGAAGATCCGCCCCCCGGGCGGTGGATACGTAGAAAGTTTGGCCTCGCAACGCTGCTGCAGTGGGGCGGATAAAGGCTTGGTGTGGGTGGTGGCGGTCGGGATCGGGGCTGAGCTGTGCGAGCAGTTCTGCTCGTCGAGTTGCCCTGGAGTGGTCCCACCCGCCGAGCTCTCGCACGCTTTTGTTCAGAGGTTGGCCAGGGGCTAACAGCAAGTAGGCGAAGTGTCGCACTGGGACAGTATTTTCCCTCAGCCCCCCTGGAAAGGTGGCCAGCCACTAGGAGCGTCGGGCCGCCCTGCTGTCGGGGACGCCGTTGCAGTGGGGGCACGGGGAACATAACAGGGCGAGACAGACACGGGGGGATGGGGACCATAAGAAGTCGTTCCGAGGGGTTGACCACGCCATCGTCGGAGGAGTTCCTCAAGTTATTATTCGAAGCTCGAGGAACCTGGCCTGGAGTGGCCGCTTCGAGGACTCGCTCCCAACGGTTGGAAGTCTGCTCCCGAGAACTCCTCCCTCCTCGTTCTCCCGATCCCCCTCTCACCCTGCGCCAGACCGCTGCAGCGACGGCGACGACGACAGCACCAACGCAAACCCGATGGGACGTTGGATCCATTGCATTCGGCGCTCCACACCACTCGAAGAGCACCTCTTGAGGCACCACGCGCAGAGCAACTCACGAGGCACCACCGCATCCGCAGCTGCTTGACGATGCACGGGCGGAAGTCGTGGCCCAAGTCGCCCACCATGGCCACACGTGGACACGGCGAGGGCTGCACTGGCAACCACGCCTCTATCCACACCAGCCCGGCGGGGTCAGGTGTCGCGGGCGCGGCGACAGTGGCGATCGCGGCAGGGGAGGTTTTGCGACCGTGGGGAGATTGGACGGCGCATGGGGACACTTCAGCGGACGTGGGGGAGGTCAACATTATCACGGGGGAGATGGCAAAGACGTGGGGGAGTTCAGAAAGGCACGGGGAAGCTGGGAATGAGATGGAGGAGCTCCAAACAGCATGGGGAAGGTAGACGGGATTCGGTTGAAGGATTCTGTCCTCTCGGGGGCCTCTTTTGTGAGGCTCCTTGGCCATTTGGAGCCGCCTTGGAGCGGTCGTGGGGCCTTTTGGAGGCGTCCAGGAAGCTGCCTTGAACCATGTTCGGCTATTTTGAACAATCTTCGAGGCCATCTTGGGGCCCTGGGGGGACCTGTGCAAGCCACCTCGGGCCATCTTGGGCCTTGGGGCATCCGACCGCTCGCGGCCCCCCGTCGAGACCTAGGGGTTGGACGAGGAGGCGCGCTAAACTACCATCGCCCATAGGGCTGGTCGGAGTTTTTGACCTCCCCCGAGGCCGCCGGACGGGCCAAATGGGCCCCCCAGCTTTGGGCGGATGGGCCGCGCGAGCCCCGCAGGCTTGGCCAGACGGGCCCTCGGGCCCCCCCCTCTGGCCTGGGCGGCCCAGAACCTCGCAACCTTGGCTGCCCCAGCTTTAGCCGCCAGAGCCTTAGCTGGAGGGGGGCCCCGAGCCCCCAGCAGCGTTAACCAGAGTGGGCCCCCCCGGCCTTACCCGGAGAGGGTCTGGATCCCTTCGGCCTTCGCTCGGGAGGGAGAAAGAGTATCAATGACCCGCTGCCGTTGTTAGCCCGTCAGCGTGTTACTCCCTCGTTTTTGTCCGAAGGTTTGGTGTGTCCTCTACAGCAACATGTTGCTGGGTTCCCCAAAGCTCAGTGCTATTGATTCTGTTCTTGCTCCCCGACAAGCCCTGATGGGGGGCCTGGTCCCGCCTTCGATGGAGCTCCCGATAAGGCCACGAAACGTGCGAGGGGTTCGCCGAAACGGGCGTGACGCCCGCATGCACGCATAGCCACTGGGGCCTTGGGTGGGGGCTGCTTGTGCGGTCACGGAACGTGTGAGGGTGTGCGCCGAAACGGGCGTTTAGCCCGCATGGCAACGTAGCCACTGGGGCCTCAGGTGGAGCTCCCCCCTTGTCGCGAAACGTGCGCTGGGGTGCGCCGAAACGGGCGTGACGCCCACATGCGAACGTAGCTACTGGGCCTTCGGCGCAGCTCCCGATGGGGTCACGAAGTGTGCGCGGGGTTGCCGAAACGGGCGTGCCGCCCATGTGCAAATGTAGCCAGTGGGGCCTTAGGTGGAGGCTCCCTCTGGGTCGCGAAACGTGTGAGGGTGTGCGCCGAAACGGGCGTGGCGCACACGCGAACGTAGCCACGGGGGCCTTCGGCGGAGCTCCACATGGGGTCACGAAGCGCGTGAGGGGTGTGCTGGAACGGTTGACAGGCGGGGGGCAAAGGCAGGGATGGGATGAGGGAGGAGGGGAAGGAGGAGAGGAGAGAGACGCGGGGCGCTGTCTTCGAACCGCGGACCCAACACCACTGGATGGTTGGGAGCAAGAACGACAGCACTCAGGCATCGCAGAACATGGACACAGCGATGAATATGGAG